TTTAGAGAGCCTCTACTGAGAGCAGGATAACATGATGATAGACTTCAGCTGCTACCTTCCAGAATTCACAATGGCTTTCCTCCCAGGGCCCCATTCTCCACAAGTTGCTCCCAACCATGATTGAACATGGTGGGGGTAATGAAACTAGCCCCTTCTACCCAATTCAGGACTCCTTTGGGCTTTTCTCTAGGACTTCCCATTGGTCTGCCTGACACTTTGTTCTTGCATTCATTTTAAGGCTTTTATACCCAATCCTCCTTCCTTCCATGTATTCTTTCACAGATGTTAGATTCCTATCATGGGTTCCTCTTGCCTACTTCTTCTCCCTCTGCATTCTACCTTTAAGTTATTCCCCACAATCAATCTCCTATATTTTAGTAATCTCTTTATGTGTGCTTCTTTGTTAACACATAGGACAAAAGTTAACAAAATCTTATAAAAATCACCAAATACTATAAAATGTTAATTGTTGTAGATTTCACTGAAATATATAATTCTTTCAGTTTTCTTTCACATATTTTTTTCTCTTCACCTTTTCTTTCCCTCTCCATTTTTTCTCCCAGAGCCTGTCTGATTTTTTATGGTGTCAGATAGTAAAAAATACAATGAAAATAGCATGTATTTTCCAGCAATACTTATAGAAACCATACAAAGAGCCAATCAAAAACTGGAAAGCAGAATCATTGATTCCACAATCTAATTCCTATGTGTATAAGTTTTTATTTCATTGATACCTGAGGAAGAGGAGGGAGGTATGAATGCTGTTTGACTTTGCAGTGGTTAGGGATGATGAAAGTAGAAAAATGAAAGATAAGATCATACTGCCACAAAGTAGCAATGTTGCTCTGTTTTTAAATTTTTCTCCCATCTCAGTTTTCTAGAACAATAGTGATTTTTGAGCAGAATGACTGAAATACTTATTTATCAAGAAAGATTTTAAAGTGTTATTTTTTAAAATAATGATTTTAATAATATTTAAACATTATTTAATATACTAAAATATTAATAGGAAAAGTATAATAAGCAAATGATTTATTTTTTCTTTTTTTTTTGGGGGGGGGCACTGGGGATTGAACCCAGTGGTGCTTTACTACTGATCCACATTCCCGTCCCTTTTTACTTTTTATTTTGAGATAGGGTCTCAATAAGTTGCTTAGGACCCTGCTGAATTGCTGTTGCTGGCCTCAAATTTGCAATTCTTCTGCCTCACTCAGCCTGCTGAGCTGCTGGGATTATAGGCATGTGCCACTGTGCCCAGTCATAAGCAAATATTTCTAAAAGTTTGTGATCCAAAGTTCATATGCAGATGTTTTCTTCATGTTCTTCAAGAGAAAATAAGCATTCATGCAATGATAAATTATCTGCTTGTAACAAAATTAGCAAGCATTTTTATTTCAAATCTCTTTTAATCCTTCTCCTAAAAGACATGAGTCAGTAGCATTTATAAAAGGAAGATACAGAGGAGATACTTGACAAGAATCTTGTCAACTATCTCCACACTGACCTCCAAAAAAACAGGAGTTGTACCTGGGTTTTCCAAGCAGGACCTACAAGTGGCTATTAATGTTTTTTAAAGAGTCAAACATGCTAGACACTCCATTCTGAAACTAACCAACAGGGACATTTCAATACACACTTCTCTAATCCTAGAACAGTACCAAAACATACCCATAGTGTATTTGTTTTGTTTATATCAAACCATCATTCCCTTTCCATTCCCCACCCAGGACCCTCCCTCACCTCATTTAAGATTGGCTTGCAAATCTATTTTAACCACTTAATACATTTTTGTAGTTTATGAAAACAAATTATGCAGCAACTATTTTACTAAATTAGGCACAAAAAGAGAGTAATGAAGAAAAATTAAATGTGAAGCCAAAACCGGCCTTGCTTTGTCTTGGAGGAAGGCAGAGTGGGTGAAAAGGACAGAGTGGTTGCAGAGGAGTGTGGTTTTCTTCTAGTGAAGAACTTACAATGACCTGGAACCCAGAATGATACCCCTCTCCATTAAGTTGCTTTAAAATAACCAAAATTATACAGCAAATAGCACCAGTATGTTCATCCCAACAACCTTCCTACCTCCAGAGCAAAGCCTGGGTCAAATCTTTCCCTCAAGGGAGCACCAAGGATGAAATAGTCAGACTGGCCCTCCAGTTACACTTGAACTTGTCAAGAAACTAAGGACACAGTTCTGAAGGGACTACGTGGTCCATGGTTATCCTGAATTCTGATGAAGAATGTCCTATGCTTTCTTTAAATTCTATTTGCTGGAGCAATAATTATTGCAATTCAGCTGAGACCAGATATTCATGTTTCCTTCCATGGGTGTCTGCTTTTTGACTGACCCCTTGATGCCTCTTAGCACTGTAGATGTGGATATCTGAGAGGGGAGAGGATCTATTCCAGGTACCCGCTAAATCCCTCTAAAGATGAAATGAGAATGAAATTATGTCATAAATTCAGTATGTGAAACAGGTTCCCCAGGATGTAGATGAGAACAGGAAAGGATGGGAGAAGGCTAGAAAAGATAGGAAGAAACTGTGTGACACCTACCAACAAGGTCAAGAAGCAATGAAAAGGACAAAAATAATATGAAATCTGCATGTAAAGAAAGGTCTCTGTCTTCCAGACTAAAGAATCAGTATTATAAAAGCAACTCATTGTTCTATTTTTTAACCTCAGTATCTGATTAACCAAGACTTGTATCTTTGATCCAACCCCATCTCACTCATCTCTCACACTTTTCCATGTCTCATGTCATTTTGTTCTGAGCATGAAGCCTCCAACATCAAAACGTGTGTATTATGACAAATTCTCTAAGATTAAAAATTATCATCCCTTTCTCAAACAATCACAACTCCAAAATCTCTGGGAGAGTCCTTTAAATAGGCAGTTTCTGGAAAAAGAAGGATATGGAAAGTATCTATTGGAAATGCAAAAATGACCCAGATTTAGCAGAAAGTTACTGACAGTGCATTTGAGAAACACATGGATGTATATTAATTCTGTTGCTTTAGCAATGATAAAAGTCCATATTTAGACATGAGTTAGGAAATCAAGTCATTTCCAAGTGATGGATGCTATGGTGGAAGACGCAGGGTCTACAAGATCATAAACTCAGACAAACCTTCAGCATCATGAAATTATGTCTCAATATTTCTTCATGATTAAATTGGGATTCAACTCAATTATTTTCTAAGATAGCCACCTTATTCAATTTGTTGATTTATCATTTTTAGTAAACTGGAAGAATATGTGTGGGGTAGCATAGAAATAGTTTATTTATTATATAAATTTTCTGTGGATAAGTCATAGTAATTTTTCAATATGTCTGTTTTTATAGCTATTTGAATTGTTATGACATTATAATAGAAATGAGGGGAATTCTTCACATGTTTATTTAAAGAATATTGACATTAAAGAAC